TCTGTGCTCTGCTGCTGGCCTTCCTCACTCCTCTCTTGCCCCTGGGACCCCACCTTCCTGGTCACAACAGCCAAGGCAGACACTGATGATCAAATCCCTGACCTTTTTTTCCAGAACAAGGCCCAGGTGAGCATCAACCTTCTTGGCCCACCTGGCAGCTCTGTTAAGAAGTTGTCCAACGATCCTCCAAACTGTTGGCACGCTGTTGCTTTACCTGGCCATTGAATGCCAAGGCGCTTACAGGTCCCCACGGGAACCTGCTCATTGGTCTGGAGACTGCCTCACATTGCTGACAGAAGACTTTCTCCTCTTCCTCTCCTTGATCAAGAGGTTCCTAACGGCCAACACAATGTCACCCTTACTGACTCCTCTGGGCCTCAATGACAAAAGGTAGCCCGACCTGTTGCCTGTCATATGAAAGACCTCCATAAATCTGAGCTGGGTCTTCCTACAGGGGACATCCCCCCTCCTCAGATTCCCCACCACTCTCTCCAGCAGAGCCTGCCTTCCTCCACTGCAGTACCCCAGGTAAGCAAGCTGTCCCACCACATCTCATCTAATCCAAACCCATCCCAGTTCTGTCACAAGACAGGGGCCTCCAGATCCTCCTGGCTGTGCTCCAGCTCCTCTTGCCCATGCAGATGTTGGCCGCAGCACCTCAGCTGTGGCACCAGGGTGGAGTGCAGGCTCCTCACAGGGAAACCTGAGCACTGATCCTGACCAGAACACCCTCACACATAGAGCAGTTAGCGCTGGGCTGGGCTGCATGTACACCACAGCCTCCTCCCCTGTGCTGTGCTGCACAGATCCCTTGGCCACAGAAAAAGCTCAGCAGCTTGTTGTAACAGAGGAGCCTGCAGGCAGCTCCCACTCGGTATTGGCCATGATGCCACCTGCATGGTCTTGCTGGTATCTGCCAGGGTAGCAAGAAGTTCTCGCGAGAACATTCTTTCTCTTTGGCTGAAGAGATGATAGAGTTGTTTCTTTGTGAGAAAATCCTGCAATAGTAGCTTGAATGACCAAAACAAGAGACTCTCTTCTATGGATGGGGTCTGCATGGTGTGCTGTATTTGGGTTGGAGGCCTGTTCAATGCTACATCACCTGGGGACACACCATCTAAAGGGACATAAGATTCTCTATAGGACTCTTCTCTTACAGTGTTAGCTCTCATACAGAGAATTTTAAAAGATACCTTACAGGGTCCAAGTGCCTTTCTTACTGGGATCCTATCGGACCAGCACCTCCTGCTG